GAATAGATAGATTAGATAGGATAGATATTAGATATAGATATATGAACAGAGATAGATATAGACGAGGTGGTGTCTGAGGTGCTAAGATCAGATGAAAGAGTACCATAAACAGGCGCATGCACGACACAGCTATGACAGCTAGGCTCCACATGCCTTGATGCGGTTACTCTGAGTTAGGTCCCCCACAAGTTGCTCCCCTAAGTCCCAATTTACGTATATCTATTACTTACGCACATAAAAAACTACAAAGTAATCAATCCCGGAAGGCCATGATTGTACAGAGGCGCAACTCATGTCCAGGGCTCCAGTACATCAGTTACTACACAGCATGTCGTTAGTCTCGATCATCGCTAATTTGTCATACCTGGCCAGTGATCAAGCAGAAAATGCAGTCCAGTCGGGATTGGACCTGATCACGCATTTAATATGGGACCCCCTGCTGCGTGAAGAAAGATAGGAGGGGTTAACTGTCGCCGTAGATTGCTGCTCTTCCTTGATCGGGGCCATTGAGAAGGGAATTTGTGAGTGATTTGGTGGACGATGACTGCTCAATAATCACTGGCATGATAGGTGATACGTTTAGCTCGGATACATTTTGTCCGTATGAGGAGGGTGCAGCGCCTTTCGCTCTACTACTTAACAAGTGAGAGACTGACATTCTCTTCATTCGTTATCTATCCTTATTACAGGCTGGTGGTCTGTGTGAGCAGTTAAGTAGCACACCCTGGCTTTCACTAGCCTATCTGATATGATAAACGAGTCAGTGCTAATAGAGACTCTTCACTCGACATCGTGGTCATTCACATCAGATACGCTGCATACAGAGACATCCTACAGGACATATTTTCCCTCAAAGCAACCCATCTACATGTCCACTCTCTCCCACGGTACTGTTCATGATTGTGGCTCTCACACTCCTCTCGCAATACTGTGATTGGGATGTAATTCTTCGGGCTGTGTGGAACTCATGTTTCCATGAAGTACTTATAATTGGGTTCGTGCTGACGAAATAGCGTCTAACGCGCCACGTGGAACTGAAGGCCGACATGATGTGCCACTGACCGACGCCCTCGGAGCGCGAGCTCTAGATGGGACGTTCTCTCATCCAAATGTTTTACCTCACAAAACAGAGTGTACTATCCACTCTCTCAGACTCTCGTCGATTCTTTATACCCCGTAAGACCGACAACGTCTACGGTAATTTTCTATTTACGCGACGTGAGTTCGTCAGTACATCACATGACGAGGCGGAGTAGCGTCGCCCTTATGTTTATTTTTCCACACCGGAGTACTCGCCTTTCACAATTATACCTAGGCGGTAGGCCGGTCCACATGTCACTAAGAGTTCTTCCTATAATCTTTGACTTCTCCTCGGACTCTTTAGACCTGCACGTTCCGTGCATGGACCCTTTGCCATTTTTGCACGTTCTCATGCTGCATCCGCTCACCGCTCCGTCCACGCATATTCCTCTGCTTCTTTCCACGGGCGGCCCACGCCGATGCTATCGCAGTCATACCACGCATGGCAAGTAGCTGCCAGTAGTGCGAGCACGCATCTGATTAACGTGACACTTACCCTGCGGGTATGATGGTGGCGCACCATATGCCGTGCTTTTGTAGTGAGGCGATGTGCGGTGGCCCGCTTGGGGGATCCCTGTTTAAGTAATTTCGAGACACGGCCTAATCATGCAGCGTTTATTCCAGGTTATGGGACCCCTATAAGGTTGCACACCATGACCTGAGACTTAAGTTTGTCGTTCTCAAGCTCACTTTCTGCAACCTTCAACCGACTTAAGCCCAGAAATTTTCGCGGTCTAAGGCGTTGGAACATGTGTTTACACCGCGTGTGCGCGACACATTGCTATGCCTTACCGAACCAGGGGATAGCAATTCTAGAACAATTTATTGGGGGGAAGCGATTGCGGAGCGACGAGTCCGCTCAAAATCAAAACAGTTTTTGATTTCCTTGCATACTCCTGATTCGCTGTAGCGACCAGAATCGCTACCGGCGTTGCAGTGCCCGTCGTGCGCGCGATTCGTTCATTAAAAGCAAGTTTGTTTTAACCAGAGAACACGATTCTACGTACATCGCTGTTCGAGTTGCATTAAAAAGTATGTGACGACGGTGCTGCCACTAGGAGTATGTAGCTCAGTGGCTTCTTACCTATTTTTGAAGTAACTGTGTGCGCAAACTAGAACCCTGCTTGCGTTGAAGAGGCTCAACTTTGCTCGAACGACGGGCTCCAAATGCAGACAATTTTTGGCATAACCAGCCTGTGAACCCCCCGAAACAATATTTTAGGATTGCAAGAAGATAACCGAGGCCCGGATTTATGAAAACATGTCTGCAATACTCAGTCAATGGTTAATGGCTGAAATTGCTTCGCGCATCAGGCGATCAAAAAAAATCGAGGCATTATTACTTTGGGCTTGGGAGGCAACGCAATATTTACGGGGAGTCACTTGACCGACCGGAAGTGAGTGGGAATTTTTTTGTAGCACCCTGGAATAACTTTTAGTAGTTATAGATTTAAATGAAATTTGTTTCCATTTTATGACCCCTGGCAAAAACCGCAAACGACCCCCATGGGGTCACTACCCCAGCTTAAGATCGAACCGGCGTTGTTATTTACACATGTAGCCAATATTTGGCTAACAGCTGGGCGCCGCGCTAGTTTAGTCCAATCAAATTTCGTAGGTGGCTTGTACCACGGGTACTTTTCGGCTTGAGGCGCCGGCAGGAACGGATGGAGAGAAAGGGGCTTGGCACTCACCGTATACCCGTGCCCCCGCGGTGCGCATTGTGCGGTAATAGGTGATGTCGTACGTCTCCATGTGCGGACCGTCATAGTACGTACACTACTTAGTCCTAGTAGTGATACAGTTGCTCGCGACTGCACTACTATATATATATATATATATATATATATATATATATATATCTGTAGTTATTTATTTGCGGTGAGCTCTCCATGGCAGTCGATGCGCACAACTATTCATTTCGTAAATGTTGCAGAAAATCCTAAGAAAGGCGAGTGAACGCAATGCAAGGTATCAAGCTGTGATCCGGAGCTTAGGTAAGCCCATACGTTCGTCTAAGTGTTACTAATGCAATCAATATTTCATATGATCATTTTCATTTATTTACTTTTATTTAGTTTTATTTACTTATTTATTTATAATGAAAAAATTATTATTTATTATTATTTATTTATTTATTTATAATTTTCGTCGTGCCTGACGTCACGAATGGTGACGTCATCCTTGGTCGTGTTTCTCGTCTGCAGTGAAGCGATACGTGACGGAGATGCAGCGGAAGCAGCAGCATCAGGGCGTCAACGAGGACGACATCAACGAGATCAAGCAGGACATCTCGTCGTTTCGCTTCGAGTTGCTAGAGATACTCAAGAATAATGGCATGCTGGGAGCGGAGGATAGCACGACTAAACGTGGTGAGAAATGGAGAGAGAGAGGGAGAGGGGGAGGGGGAGAGAGAAAGAGTGAGGGGGAGAGGAAGAGAGAGAGAGGGAGAGGGGGAGGGAGAGCGAGAGAGAGTGAGGGGAGAGGAAGAGAGAGAGAGAGAGAGAGGGAGAGAGAGAGGAGGGAGGGAGAGGAGGAGAG